AAATTGTAATTGTATTACTGTTAAATTGTTTGTTTGTTGCGCATGCGCGAACCAAAATTCTATTATTCCATTATTCCATAATTCCAAAATCAAATTGTATACACTGTAGACTGTAGTGATCATGGATCCGGAGCGAGTTGATTTAATTAAGAAATAAAAAAAGAGTTGAATATGAATGCGCGATTGTACGAGTCACGCGATCTACACACGTAGTGCACTAATATGTATACATATATACGCGTAAGGAATGTTACGATCAGGGCTCAGGACAGTCAGGACGACTCCCATATGCGGCTATCAAAAATGTGTAGGTACAGCATAGCGCTTGGACATTACAAGTGCGTGCAAAAAAGGGTGTAACAATTGTGTACTTCTGTAATAACTGCGGTACAGTAGTGAGTTTGTAAGTGTCAATAATGTAACGTAAACAATCAACAAATAGGTACACATTTTGAGTACCTATAAACTTATTTATAAATTTAAAAGTCTTGCGATTTGTGGTGCTTTAAATTGAGATATGTGTCTTTTGGAGTTTGTTTACAAGCATATATAGCACGTACGTGAATTTTGCGCCGTTTGAATACATGATCACATGACATCTGTCGTTCAATTGCACAATAATCTTGAAAAAAAGTCAAACAGCTGATAAACGTCAGGCTATATTTCTTTTTTTTTTTTGAGAAGCGCGTCGATCTCGGTAACCCACACGCTCAGTTCAGAGGAAGAAATATCAAAAGCGACACATCAGAGTTAAAGGCAGAGAAGATCAAAGAAGAAAAAGATGTTTTATTTTCTGAAGTTGATACTGCCGAGCATTTTGCTTTGTCTTTATCTGCAAACAGTCTTCTATTTGTTGATTGATTTGCTATGTTTGAGTGTGCCATGGTTATTATGGGGTACTATTGTTTTGTTATTGCTCATAAGATTCAGTGCAAGGGTGCCACCGCCCGATGATAGCGTTGTTAAAAAGGTGCTGGGCATGGATCCTTTGGTTTTGGATCAGGAGGAAGAAAGGGAGATTGACAGACAAACAGAGAATGTAGAAGAAGAAGCAGCACAGTATTGCATTAGAGTCGTTGCCCACAGAGGAGCTGGATTTGATTATCCTGAGAACAGTATGTCTGCCTTCCGCCATGTAAGTTTGGATATTTTTATAATTGGTATACGTATGAGTTTGTTTTAGTCGTCATAAACGAGAACACGATTTCCCTTTTACATGTTTTCAATGTGGATATTACTCGCAGAGTCATCAAAAAGGCTGTGATGCTATAGAGTTCGATTTAGCTCTGACAAAAGACAATGTTCCTATTATTTTTCATGATGATACTATTGATAGATTAACTGGTACTTTTGGCACTATTAAAGATATGACCTGGAATGAATTAAAGGATTATGATATTTCTACGAATCATCCTCTCAGGTGATTATTTTTTAAGCTTCCTTATTTTTCATAGGTGATAGTTTCGATCGAAAATTGAAACGGAATGTATATCATTTCTCAGAGTAAAATTAGATACAAATGGTGAAAAAATAGCACTTTTTGAAGAAGTCGTAGAAGAGGCTTTGACTAACGAAACTCGTATGTTTATTGATATAAAAGCTACGGGAAAAGAAGTGATCAAAGTGGTTCTTGATGCGTTCAAAAAGTATCCTCTGCTATATGAAAGAGCAGTCATATCCAGCTTCAACCCAATCACTATCTACATGGTAAATTATAAATCAAGTGTGTTAGAAAAAAAATGTTTTTAAACCATATTATATCTATACTAGAGATTATCCTTTATTACTATCCAAAAATTTTAGTTGTACAGTTTTTTTTTCGGTTGTAAGAAAAACACCAACAAATACACAGTATTACTTTTTTTTTTTATTACAAACTTACATTATGTATATTAATTTAAAATTTCGTAAAAAAAATTTTCAGCCCCGTTAAAGTTATAAATAAATTAATAAATAATCATTAAACGTCAACTTTTTTTTACAGATTAGGAGAAAAGATCCGCGTATTATAGCGGGTATCGCATGGAGGCCTCAATTTTTTTCCATGGGTTTTTACTCTGGAATAAAAGGACCACGAGAATCTCGATTCAGTAATTTATTTCTACACATTTTAGCAATGATAGTTGATGCTATTCATGACTGGGCTTATGATCGCATAACGTACTACGTTCTTGGCTTATCTTTTATATTACTTCACAAAGATATCATAAGCCCGTGAGTATTAATAACATTTTTCAACTTCTTTTTTTTTCACCTTACAAATGTAAGAAAAGATCTTAATTTTCCTTGTTGAAACTTTCGAAAGATTCTTTTACAAAAATTTTGCACACATCGTCTCTTCAGAGCATATGAATCAAATATTTAAAAAAAAAAGATAATTTGGTGGAATGTTGCAATAAAAGTTCCAATGGTTCGTCAGGAAGGTGAATTCGCTGATGATTGACCTAATGAATAATACTGGATTTTTAAGAATTGAAAATTAATTTAATTTTTAATAACTTTCATATTACTTTAATCAGACTGCTAATAATCAACCTTAGCTTTTAAAAAGTGCCGTAACTTTTAACAATTACAGTATGATACACTTGTGCTCTATACCAATACTATATTATTAATAGAGATGACATTAATTACACTCAAATAATATACTACTAATCAATTTTTTATATATCTGTGATATAGACTTGCATGACATAATTTTTTGCAACTACAACAGTAAATTTTTTATTTGGTTTTGCTATCAGACTAATACATTTTGATATTAAAATAAAAGAACCTAATAAGTACCAAAAGTGAATTAGGTTGGCTTTATTAACCTGACGCGGTGTTTTTACTCACAACTCACAACATTAATTCGTATTTTTTTCAGTGAAGTCATTCGTCTATGGAACGATCGAGGAATTCGAGTATTTGCTTGGTCAGTCAATTTACCATCAGAGAAAAAACATTTTATGAAAAATCTAAAGGTATCATATTTGACTGATACATTGATGTCGTAAGATCTCAAAAAAAAAAAAAATTACGATTCTCTAAACTTTTTGAAAGTAAGGAGTCGCTGATAAATTTATGTATAGAAAAAAAANTCCAAATGAAATGCATTTAATGTTAATTTATACACGATTAGATTTAAGACGATAATATATATATATGTTATATATAAGCCTAATACAAATGTGAAGCTCGATATTGCTTGAAAAAAAAGTATTCATATATTTTGCACAAAAAAAATTTAAAATAAGCTAAATCGTAATCAGTAAAGTGATATATAATGTACATATTTACAAAATGCTTTGAGATATCAAATCTCGAAGCTATTCTTATAATTTAAGAAAAGAGTTCATACCGTAACATACATTATTTCTTTTATTCGCAATTTTTCGCACAAGCGACGAAATTTTCATCGAACCTGAAAAATAGTTGACATTCGTTTTAACCATCAGCAACTGCATATATTTAAAGTTATATAAACCACAAGTTCGGCTCTGTTGTCTCTCACACAACTGTTGTGAGTTTTTCCTTTCGTGTTTCCATGCCTTCGATCAAGCCAGTCAGTAAATCTTCCATCTCCGTGGCGGCACGTTTTAATTCGCAATTATTATCCGCGCTAAACGTATCTTCAAGAAATCAAACAAAAAATTGATAACGCGTACGTAATACCACACTTGGATATATCACAGTTGAAAGCACGCTTATAATTGTACACGAGCAGTAAAAATAAAAAATAAAAATTACCTTCTAGCAAGCAGTCATTAGCTACCATATTTTGCAATCTGTCCAAAATATCATTGAGATCACCTTGAATGTTTTGCAAACTACTGTGCTGCGAATTCTTATCAGTTTGCAGAGATGGCAGTCCGTTATCTCGATTAACGCCGGTTTCTCCGTTCTGGTTACCACTTGGTTTTTCCTTCGATTTCTTGCTTTCCCTCGAGTTCAGCCACTGGGAAAAGCCACTGTCTCGCGAAGAGAAGTTGGTACGATGTCCTAACATTGAAAAGCATACGTTTCAGATAAAAAAAGTACACCAAAAATGTCTTATTAGTTTGTATTGCTTATAAAAAATGACCTCCGATCCATGTGCTCGGCTCGATGCAAGTATCATCGGTCGCAACTTGATTATTGCCATCGGAAACGCCATCATTTGCACTGATTTTGTTAGCTGCTGACGTGCTTTGCGTGGTGGTACTGCAGCTGTCGAGATCACTCGAATTTTCATAATCGGGACTTTGATGATGATGAGTTATGGGACTTAATTGAAAAGCCATCGGTAAGGCCGATATTCTCGATACAGCGGCTTGGACCATCGGTGTGCTTTGAACAACGTTAAAGTCACGTGGCACCTGCGATCCTCGTGTGAATAAATAGTTCTGAAACGTTAGTACATGTCAAAGCTGGTGATATGGAAACTAACTCAAGATTTTTTTTTTTTTTCTTTAAGTGCAGGGTACCTTCAAAATTTTCAAACGCTTCAGCTGCGATTCTATCGCAACTCTGTGATGTTGCAATTTTTCGACCCTACTGTCGCTTATTTCTTTCAATTCCAGTTGCAATTGTTTGTTTTCCTCTTCCAAGTGGGATATTATGCTCTGCAATTCTTTCTGCGGATCGTTAAGTATTCGCCTTTTAATGGTACTCCTCACCGACATGGAATCGAAACTTTTTGTTTGATCGCTGTTACAATGTAAAAAATATATGATGTACAATTAATATTATTACGTGGCTTCAAGGTGAGTTACTTGTTAATGAAATCAAGTCTTACAGATTCATGGAAGAGCTAGAATCGTTAAAGCTGCTGTCACCATTTCTCGCAGGACACAAACTTAGTTTATTTTGAATGAGTTCAATAAGTAGTTTTGTGATTTCCTTGGTGCTCGTCTAAAATCAAGTTCGAATCTTATGATGTTAAGAAACATTTGGTTTTTGAATTTATTTTTTTTCAATCATATGTATACCTTGATGCAATACTCGCGAACGGGGTGTTTTAATTTATGTTTGCCCGATACTTTTCCATATAAAAAACATGTTTGACATTGATTGTACCCTGTACATTTTAAACATGAGTATCTTGGACCCTGTATCGGTGTACTTTTACATGAAGAACATTTAACGTTATGAACAACTGCAAATTTTGACGTTAGAGATTAACAATTTTTTTTTTTTTTTTTTTTTTTTTTTTTTTGTAAGGTAGTTCACGCCAAAAGTTGTTTTTTGTATAAAAACCTTAGAGAACTTGTGATTATTCCATCTCCGTGGCGGCACGTTTTAATTCGCAATAAAGATGAGGGGACTGAACTACCTTGATTAAAAATTAAATATTATAAAAAAAAGTATATACTTGGTTCGGCTGACTTTAAACGATTCATTGTGGTGATCCACATCAACAAGGGTGGTTCTTGCATAAGCCAAGTAGCAAATTCTGCTTCAGTTACTCCAAGACAGCCCTGAGACTTTATAAAATGGTTTAGCAAAACAATTTTTTTTTTTTAATTTTTTTAAAAGAAAAAATTAATAAAACACTCTTGTATATACCTCACAGAAACAATTATCAATGCTTGCTCTGATTAAATGATTTCCATAAGCAACGCTTTCACCTAACATTTCTGTTATTTTGCATATGTTTGTTAAAAGTATGTTAAGTGCTATTCTGGACAAACATGCATTATGGTCAGCTAATTGATGAAATAGATACCCATATTTTTCTTCCAATCTTCCACAACTGACTAAAGTTAGTGCTACTTTAACTGAAAATACTGATATATTTTCGTTTTCTTTTCTATGAAAAATAATACGTAATTAATGTAGAATATACATAAAGAACATTCATATGTACCCAGTGAACTTACTTGTGAAAAGTTTTAAAAATATAATTTAAAGCTAATTTTGTAGAATCATCTACATTAAAGTCAGCATTGCTTTCATTTTTAGCACCGAAATAAATATCTGATAAAAGGTCTTCAACCTCATAAATGTCTAAATTTATCGAATTCTCGGTAACTGACAGTCTATGCTTTTCAAAAACACCTGCTACAAACTGCGTTTGCACGTAGTTCACTAAAATACAAAATGTTTAATTCAACTTACACTATTAAAGTATTATCAGAGGTACCTATATGAACGAAAACTTACTATTTAAAGCCTTATGAAAAACTTGCATCTTTGATGCTGTTCTGTAGGAAGCATATCTAATGACATTGCATTCATTGATTGACTTTTTTATTTTCTCCATGGTTGATTTCACAAACGAATCACTTAATAGTAAATCTTCCATCTCCGTGGCGGCACGTTTTAATTCGCAATTATTATCCGCGCTAAACGTATCTTCAAGAAATCAAACAAAAAATTGATAACGCGTACGTAATACCACACTTGGATATATCACAGTTGAAAGCACGCTTATAATTGTNTTTTAATTAACAAAAACTTACTTTAGCAGTGGCGATCTTTTATTGCTGCCTCTATTACGACCACTGACTACAGTATCTAAAATATGGACGCAATTCGTAAATTAAAAATAACAAAAAGTTTGTAGCTAGTACGATTATCATTATTATATTGCAAACAAATTGTTCAGAACAATAAATATTTAAAAAAAACTTACCTTCTGCCATGTCGAAAATAACAATTCCTCGGTGAAGAAAACACTTCGTCCTGAATACTTATTTATTTGCTCAAACAGAAGAATTTACCATTTCACGCCCTTTGGCACGAAAATAAAAAAAAAAAACACTGTTTACTTCCTTAGCAGAAAGACCAACACATTTTCAACACTTTTATCAGTTTTCATCCGACTTCTCGGCGAATTACGACAACAAAAAGTACTTCACGATCAAGGCACTCACTGAATCGTTTAATTTGGTTTTTGAGGTGAACGAGGCACGCAACGTTTTTTGAAAATAGTAAGTGCACTTATAATTGATCCTTCACTGGCCGTTGTATTATTTTTTTTTGAAAAATCGGGATACCACAATGGACGCTGCCGCCGCACCGCGCGCGCTCGTCAACATAACCTATTGTGTGTATGGGGTCCGGTTTCGATTATCGTTTTTACTTTTTAATATTATATATTAAACGGATTGGAGAAGGGGCAGGGCAAGGCAAGGCCCATTAAACTCGTTTCCTCTATATATACACCGAGTATCCTGTGCGTCGAGGGGTTCATCGGGTAATATATAAAAATATATACGCAGGCAGTGTAAGGTGCGACGGTTTGTATTTTTTCTCTCTCTCTCTCTTTTAACTTGAAGGGGTCAAACTGTCAAAGGGAGACTTTTAATACTGTTGGGGAGAGAAACCTTACATTACGGCGCCGACTGTTTGAAAATGTAATTTAAAAAATTTAGAGAGCAAGTGATCAATGGAAAAACCTAATTTGATTTGATTCTTGTAAAATTAATTTATAAGCTGAATTAGGGGTTTATTTGCAACTCAGAAAACGTACAGTACTTTCTCAAGCGTATTTTTTTCTTTATTCATACATATACTTATTGTGCAACTTAAATTTTCAGTAAAAATAACTGATTAGATTAGTATACCACAGATTCAATGAGTCGCTTGTGTCGTAAACATTATAAAGTGTGTATTATACAACTAACACATTATTTTTACAAGTATTTCATGGTTGGGAAATAATCATGATATGATGTATCAATCTCGATAACAAATCTTTGAAAACAGTATTTTCAGTATGTTAACAATCATTTTTTCTTTGATGCCTTTGTCTTTTTTTTCTTCACGTGCTTTTTCATCTTAGACTTTCTAACTTCTGCTTTTTGTTCTTTTACTTCTTTTTTTCTTAGCTAGAAAACAAACAATTTATATGAAAATTATTTATATTATAAACACTTGCTTAGATACACACCTTTCTTTCTTCAGCTGTTTCATTCTTGGGTCTTGCAGAATTTATAAATTTCGATTCTGTTTCTTCAGCTTCACTTTTTTCTTCGCTTTCATCGCCTGAGCTACTATAATCACTCTCATCTGAATCTTCATCAGATTCTTGATTTTTCGTTTCATTGCTTTTTTTGTCTTTGTCACTTTCGCTTTTATCTTTTGAAGTTCGTTTGGATAAAATACTAGGAACTTGTGCAGGTTTGGATAAATCACCCATCAATCCAACTATGGTTTTGTAAACAAGATCATGTTTACCAGATTTTGCAAGTTTAATGTCTCTTTCAATGTCAATCACCTAAAAAATTTGAAAAATTATACATGATTCAAACAAAGTTCATGGTTGATAATTTATTTATTTCTACCCTATCCAATCTTTGAGGTATGTATATATTTTTGAATGCTTCTTCTTCTATTTCCTGCTGCGGATCAGTATTAGTAGGTTCTTCTTCCATCTTTTTTGACATCACATCAAGGTACTCATCTATATTTTTTTCATTTACTGTTGGGTCAGTTATAAAATCGAACAGTTCTTTTACGGACATGACAGCCACCTTATTTTTTCGAAAGAATTCTAAAAATATTCAACTAATTTACTCAAAAATTAATTCAGTGTGATAAATTATTATTTTAAGCAAAAAACAATTAACACACCTGTAATGTTTGTGCAGTCTTTCCTTAGAAATACAAGGGCATTAGGATGCTCGTGCTCAACAGATTGTGACACATCTATTATAACTAAAGATTCTTCATGATAAAGAATGTTGTATTCACTCAAATCTGCATGTACTAGTTTACATTTGTTGTAAAGTTTCCACATAATCTCAATACATTCTCTGTATAATTTTCTTGGTTTTGAAGTAGTAAGCACAGCATCTTTTAGTTTTGGGGAAGGCCAACCTTCTGAACCAATGAAGTCCATCAACAAAACATGACTTTTCAACAAAATTGGCTTTGGTGCCTTGATTCCTGCTTGATGCAATCTATTCAAATTTCTCATTTCTTTTTCTGCCCATGTTCGTACCATTTTTCTCGGATTGCTCTTACAGTACCCATGCCTAAAACGATACTCTCCAGTGACATACTTGTCTCTATCTTTGAAAACGAGTATAGAAGTTTTGTAAATTTTTATGGCAAATTCTATTCCAGTACTAGATCTAGCATGGTAAACATTAGCTTCTTTTCCAGTGGAAATACAACCATTGATCTTGTCAATGATACCTTTATTCAACATTTTAAACAAAATCATCCTGGTTCTGTCATCCATAACCTGTTCAGCTGTAGCGCGATCACTTTTATCTTTGACACGACGTCTGTTATTTTCAATACTCCTGTTTTTCTCACTGAGTATATTTGTAGCCGACTGCTCAAGCCTTGGGCCTTCATAATCTTCAATATTTATTTTGTTGGCATACCTTCGAAAAAGTTTGTCCGGTGGTTGAAAATTAGTAATTTTGGATGAGCTTTGCTGTGAGTTTGTAGTTTTTTGGTTCACTTTGAATCTGTTTTTGTGACCTGTCTCTTCATCGTCATCATTGTATATATAATCATCATACTCATCATCAATTTCTTCTTCATCTCCGTTTTCTACTTCAGAAGCATGACTTTTTTCCAAATTAATTGCATTCAATTTTTCACACACAACTGATTTGAAAACTGGTTTACCTCTTGGTACACTCAACCTGTGAGTCAATGAATTAGAAACACTTTAATAAATACTTATTTTTCTTATTAGTATTTATCATTTATTACATCCACATAAATTGATTATTTAATTACTGTTATGGATTGCATTAAATATACATTAATCTAATTAAAAACCCAAAAGTAGCTTTACACCAATTAACCATGTAACAATAATTTACTAAAATATATGAAATGTAGTGAAAAAAGTACAAGTGAATGACATTTGCAAACACGTGTGTGGATAAGGTCTCAAATATAAAAATTCTAAGTAATCAATCAAACTTACGGTTTATCATTTTCCTCGGCATCACTAAATTGACCGTCCTCGATCAGATCCATTTTTGTTAAAGTGTGCGATTTTCAACAAATTTTCTAATATTTACGTACTTATATCAAGCAAGCAAGGTCGTGTCATATTTTTACATGACTGACTTTTTGAAAGTAAGGAGTCGCTGATAAATTTATGTATAGAAAAAAAAAAAAAAACATGCTATTTATATAATTTAATAACTCATACAACGATTTTTATTTAGATATAATCCAAATGAAATGCATTTAATGTTAATTTATACACGATTAGATTTAAGACGATAATATATATATATGTTATATATAAGCCTAATACAAATGTGAAGCTCGATATTGCTTGAAAAAAAAGTATTCATATATTTTGCACAAAAAAAATTTAAAATAAGCTAAATCGTAATCAGTAAAGTGATATATAATGTACATATTTACAAAATGCTTTGAGATATCAAATCTCGAAGCTATTCTTATAATTTAAGAAAAGAGTTCATACCGTAACATACATTATTTCTTTTATTCGCAATTTTTCGCACAAGCGACGAAATTTTCATCGAACCTGAAAAATAGTTGACATTCGTTTTAACCATCAGCAACTGCATATATTTAAAGTTATATAAACCACAAGTTCGGCTCTGTTGTCTCTCACACAACTGTTGTGAGTTTTTCCTTTCGTGTTTCCATGCCTTCGATCAAGCCAGTCAGTAAATCTTCCATCTCCGTGGCGGCACGTTTTAATTCGCAATTATTATCCGCGCTAAACGTATCTTCAAGAAATCAAACAAAAAATTGATAACGCGTACGTAATACCACACTTGGATATATCACAGTTGAAAGCACGCTTATAATTGTACACGAGCAGNTATATATATATATATATATCACAATGTTATCTCTTTAGGTAACGCTAAAGAACCGTATTATGTGTACCAATTTACCGATCAAAGATTTCTTGACAGCTTTTTTGGATTATAGTTATTATCGACCTCTGGAGGTATTGTAGGGGCACTATCACACATAGCTAGAACTATTATAAAAAAGCACTATATATAAGTAGGTACTCATGTCAAATAATAAACTTTTTTTCCATTTTAGTAGGCATGAAAGAGATTAACTCCATTTAATTTTATTAAATTAACTCCTAAGCATATGATTAGTTATAAAAAAAAAAAAAGATTCACCATAGTGTGTGAAAAATAGATACAACCCGCAATATTTTTTTTTTCTGCAAAAAATTGTATTTCACTACAGTTCAGGAGAAAATGATTTGGTAAATATTTTTCTTACGAAGGAAATCACCCTGTCCCGATTCCAGAGATCTTTTGGTATTTTGTAGTACACAAAAAAATACCGGATATGGGATACGTAGTTTTTTTTATGTACTGATGTGCACTTTCAAGGGATGAAAACCAACTGTGGATTTTATCCTCAAAAATTTTTTTTACAATATACGTGTATATTTTGAGTTCCAATACATATTTTGAAATTAAGCAAGCGTAAAAACATTTGTAACTTCAAGAGCAATCATTCCATTTACTTTATTTACTCAGGGTTACAACTGAATACTGAAGTGGGTGAAGTCATTTTTTTTTTATTTTTCTGTGTAAAAATTTAAAAGTAATTATTAAAATTATAAAAAAAATATATAAATTTTTTTTAAATTAAAACATATAAGTTATGCCTGCCTACTTCGTTAGAAAAATATTTGTGTTCCATTTCCAAATATTTTGTAACTTGTTTTTGAGGGTAAACTTACTGGGTGGTTTTTACCCTCTACTTCATAAAAACCCATATCAGAACGTAAAAATAATACGTATCTTTCATTTTTTTTTTTTTTTAGCGTACTACTAAGTACCAAAAGATCTTTGAGGTGGTTTCTGGTTGGGGTGGATTCTTAGTTAGGGTAAAATTGTGTAACAAAACAGATACATCAATTATCAATGCAACGAGCATTATTGGGCATTCTACCGGTTAAGTCACCTGATAATTTATAAGTACAAAAGAGACAGATCCACCACGTTGTGTTGTTTTTTCGCACTTATAAATTATTACGTGACCTAAACATGGTTCAATTAGTATTTCCAATAATATCTAAGACTTAGTGTCTCGTACAAATAGTCGTGTATTTTGAGAATCCCTTTTTCTTAATGGGAGAAGGAGGTGGTATCATTCATAACATTTCTTTAGCAAAAAGTTTCACCATTGAAAGAGCGAGCTTCCTTCGTGTTCTGCCTTAGAATAATATTTTTACAACTTCAAAGGTGATACCGTCTCAATTCATTCTGATGTTTCTCAACGAGGGGCTTCGCCCCTCCTAGCTCCCCTTATTCTCACAGGGGCTATCGACCCTAAACCCTCGCACCGTTGTTGCGATCTATTCTGCACCATCAATTTTAGATACTTACCACAGTCTCTAAAACATTTACAACTACCTACGTATGCACGCGTGCGTGTATCCGAGTGGATGTGCAAATACCATGGAAGATGTCCAAGGATTGACTCTCTTTTAGTAATGATAAAAATCAATTTTCCTCGCATATGTTCGATTGGTTCAAGACCCATTTTGGTTCTCGGTTCGGTTCGACCCGGTTCTGCTGCATATACATGTACTTTCTTAAGAAAGCATTCAAACACATAGTAAGTAGGCCCCAACCAACAAAAACCGATTGGTTGCGAACAAATCTATTGTGAAAAATCGTATACCGATTTGTGCAAACGATTCACACATGTGTGAAATTGCTTTGCTTGTTCGTTCCCGACAACTCCGATCAGTTATGGGCGTTAATTCTTACTCGTAAATTAATTTATCTTTTTTGCACTACCTATATATAATAGTGCTTCATACTGGACCTACAGAACAGTACTTGCGTCCGAGATACGTGTACGGTTTTACACCCTTTGCTCAGATCAGATTAGAGTTTTTTGCCTGTACAACGCCTCTTCGAAATAATGGCTGGTGCAAATAACTATGGCTTTGTTTGTAATTTGCGTATATTTATAAGTACTCGATGAGTTATCAGATTTATCGTGGCACATGTAATCATCGGAATCAGGCAATGTATAGGGCTTGCCTGGTACTTGGATGAGTGACCAACTACAGTGTTTAGGTGTTTTTGTACATTTGATGGAGCAAGCGAAACGGGGGGCAAGGTTCATCCTTTGATATTCAAGCATATAAAAATGCAACTGATGTAGACGTCGAAGAAGATACCGAGATAGTTTTACCTATAGTTTGGGCGAGTAGATCATAACTGCCATGATCGAAATCTCATGACTATACTTTATAAGGAAGTATTTAAATGTGTGGAAATTTCCTCTCAAGTCGAAAGCGACCACGCTAAGGGCAATATTATAGTATATTCCTGGTCTTGGGAAGAAAAACAAAGAATAGCTCGGATCATCAAAGCCGAAACTGATAAGAATGAGGGTTTTCTTCATTTTCTTGCATCGGTTGAATAAGACTTTTCACCAATCCTGCGTGGAGAGGAAGTTTCCTTTTTCGGTGCAGTATGGTAAAAAAATTCCATCCAAAAGCGATTTACCCCTGCAACTAAAAGAAAAAAAATTAAATTGAGAGACTCATGGTAAAAAAAAATAATCCAACAACGCTGATATAAATAAAGGAATACGTAATTGATACTGTACGAAAAATATAACGAATAAAAAAAGATATATGTAGGCAAACTTCAATACATGGGAAATAGTTTAAATCATTCCTACAAATCAGAAAAATCTTGTGATTTAGACCCCAGTCAAAGCAGGGTTAAAACAATTGTGGTAGAGTAGAGCAAACAGATGACAGTGAATCTATATAACTGAAGTGCTTTGTTCCTTAAATTGAAAAAAAGAATTTCCATGCCATGATTAGTGTTTTTGACGGGAGACTTTGAACGAATAAATATTTATTAACTTCAAGTATGCGCTAATTGTTAATTTATAATTATTCTTACATTAACATAATAACTGAAAATTAGTAGTTACAGATACTTTCACTACAGTTGTAAAATTAAAAAACCCTTTCGAATGAGCGTGTATCTGCGTCATTGATAACTAACATATATATTTAGAAGTTCATTATTGAGTTGCGTGTTTCGGAGAATAGTAATTAACAAAGCAGTTATATAATCATTGAAGTTGTTCATTGAACTTTTATCTAATGCATTTAAGTTGATTTTTATCAAAAACGTGTCGTTTATCAGATACTAAAAGGTTTGAAGAATGTTCGAAAGTGTTTACATTAGTTGTGTACAAGATTATGAATTATGATTACTAATGAATTCCGAGCATCCAATCTATTTCGGTCACTAACTCTTGAAGGTTCTATAATTACTACTATTCCACATTTGTTTAGAGTAAACGACTGGACTTCAATACAAAAAATATTTCCATCAGTATTATCAGTGACTGACTGTTATCAACTAAGTGGCATCAGTGTTACAAGTCCTTGACCTCAGAAAGTCGATTATTTATGCATTTGTTACAAATCAAAAAATTACAAAAAGTCCCATACCTATGTAGATAACAAAATACCCAAATTCTTCACTCGTGATTATTCCGTGCTTTATCATCGGCTTCACTATCTATTAAAGCTCATTTCATAAAACAATTACGTAAAATTAACCGCACTAATGTCCATCATTACTCCTTAACATAGAGCAACTTTAGTTTTTAATTATGTGATAATTAGATTGTCTCGATTATCTTCTGATCAAGTTGTTACTTTTTATCTTTCTCGAGTTATCAAATTTCTGAACGCTTCTCACCAGAAAATATAGTATCTTTGTTACGTAATAAAATTATTTTATAAAATAAATTGAATCACATAACAAATTTGGACAAATGTGACGTAATTTTGTTACGTGATGAAACCATGATATGAAATGAAATGTTACAGATTCTGGAATTAAAACGTCAGTAATAGTATAAGATTACATGTCATAATTATTAAGTAGGCTAATTTATTTCATGATTTTATTTTATCATGCAACAAAATTATGTCACGTTTGTCTAAATCTGTTACATGATTTACGGTGTTATATGATGTGATTTGATTACGTAACAAAGATACGTCATTATTTTCTAGTGGGTTAGTTAAGTCGTAGCCAGTCTGCT